TCTTTCTATCTTTCTATCTTTCTATCTTTCTATCTTTCTATCTTTCTATCTTTCTATCTCTGCAAATTTTGGGACCTTCTGAAGCCTACAAGCTTCTTTCTTTCGTGTAAGGGTGCTGCTGTTTTGGCTGTACTTGGAAAATAGATTTACTCTTGATGGATAAAATGTAGTATAACCTTTCCCTCTGCTCAGCTTCTCATATGTTTTGACCCACTTCTCTTGACTTAGCCTGCCCTAACTTCATCACTGCAGTGGTGCATCCAAAAGTGCAGCTCTGACTAAGATCGAAAACTCAAGCAAGCCAACGCTTATCTCTAAGCTTCTTAGCTAATCTGGAGGCTCCTGCTGCTTCTAGACCAGAGTCCCACCATCTCACCTTCTTTCCACGATGGTCCTGGGCCTCTTGTCGCCGCTGAAGGAACTCTTCGGCTAGGCTCACCGCCTGGGAGCAAGTCTCAGGGCCACCTTCCCAGACCCAGCTCTGGATCTCCGGGGGCAGGATGGCCAGGAATTGCTCCAGGATCAGCAGCTCCAGGATCTGCTCCTTGGAGTGTCTCTCCACCTTCAGCCACCCGTGGCAAAGGTCTTGGAGCTGATTGTATGCTGCGGTAGGTCCCTCAGCCTCCTGGTAGCAGAAATGCCGGAAGTGCTGGCGATGCTTCTCCCTCTGCAGGGCATCCCCTTGCAAGATGGCCGCTTTCACTTTCCCATAATCCACCCTATCCCTAGCCAACATCCTGTCAAAGACCTGTTGGGTCTCTCCACTGAGGGCCGGCACCAGCCTGGCCACCCACTCCTCCCTGGGCCAGTGACAAGCCTTGGCCACTTGCTCAAAGGAATCCAAGAATGCCTTGGCATTGTCCCACGGGGCGGGCTCCTCTACTAACGCTGGGGATCTCTGGCTTGAGCACGGGGACTCCATCTTCTTCAGAAACTCCTGCAACTGGGCTTCCCAGCAACCCACCACACCCTCCCTTGCTTCTTCTTTCACCCAACGGGACGCTGCCCCTTGGGGAGGGTGCCCGGCAAACCCAGAACGCACTGACTCCAGCGGTGGACCTCCTCCTTCCCCATCTGCCTGGGCTTTGTGGGCAACAGCTTTCCGGAGGCTGCCTGGAGCTTCTCCAGCCTCTTCTGGGGCTTCTTCTTTGGGCCAGGCCAGAGAAGGGTCCTCTTCCATTTTCATCCTGGGATGTAGGAATCCCAAAAATAAGTCTTCAGGAGCCACACTGTCCTTCTGGACTCCTGCTTGGAAAGCAGAGGAAAGTTAAACCCAAGTTATGGGTCATCTTATGTATTTACTCAAAATCCTGGGTGTCAGGTAGGTGTATGTACGGTTAAAGTATGAGAATCGTTTTCTTTTGTAAATGTATCATTCTGTGATATATATACGGACGCACATGTAAGTATATATGGATGACTGAGACTATAGTAAGATAGAGGAGTCTATTGAGTAATTTACTCTCGGTTGTACCCGGATCAAGGGTGGCACTCCCTGCTATGCAAGCTAGATTGTTAATCCAGAGTCTACTTTGCAAGCCAACATCTGGTTGCCTGCATCCTGCCATCTAGGAGATACATGCAATGTACTGACCCACACTCAGTATATATTGATTTACGCAGTGTTCTTATCAGGACTGTGTTTATTCAGTTTATTATTATTATTTTATATTCATAGCCTGCTTTTTCTCTGGGAATTGATGACAGCTTATATGGTGGACTTCCCCTGTTTTTTTCCCTGTGAGGTAAGTTTGGCTGAGACAATGTCTAGTCTAAAAATCACCCTATAGATGTGGGGGGGCTTGAGCCTGGGCTCCTCGGTCCCTGTCCTACAGCTGAGCCACAATGCAATTTCCACATCTCAAATGCAGCTGGTATTTATCAGTATTTCGATTTTCTGAGCATCTGAATGAACACGTTTAAAAAGATGCATTCAAGGTTGTGTCCATTTCAGAAGTCCTCCCCAAAATTCCATTATATTGGGGTTTGTCTTGTGGCACCCTGAAAACTAGCAAATTTATTCTGGCATAAGCTCTCATGGACCATGGTACATTTCATTAGCACAGCGTTTCACAGTGTTTCTCAACCTTGGCAACTTTAAGATGTGTGGACTTCAACTCCCAGAATTCCTCAGCCACTCATTAGCAAAAGTCATCTGTTAAGCAGTGTTTCTCAACCTTGGCAACTTTAAGATGTGTGGACTTCAACTCCCAGAATTCCTCAGCCACTCATTAGCAAAAGTCATCTGTTAAGCAGTGTTTCTCAACCTTGGCAACTTTAAGATGTGTGGACTTCAACTCCCAGAATTCCTCAGCCACTGGCTGAGGAATTCTGGGAGTTGAAGTCCACACGTCTTAAAGTTGCCAAGGTTGAGAAACACTGCTTAACAGATGACTTTTGCTAATGAACTCACCTACTGTAGGCCAGGCACCAGGACACATTGCTAGCATTTTTTGTGAATGGCAAAGAGGACTCTTGTCAACTCTTTGGATTCCAAGACTCATCATCCTCAGCCAAAGGAGACGATGGAGCTTCTTGCCCAACACCTCTGGAGGACACCCCGGCTGGAGAAAGCAGACCCAATTATCATTCTAGGTCTGGATTCCCCCGTCACTCTAACCCTAATCCAGACAGCAGAAAACAGATTTGTGGTATTCACACAAGAGGATGGGTTGGGTTTCCCCCTGTTGACCCCAAAATATCCAGTCCGATTTTGGTTTAGCGTAGTCAACTGAGTAACCCCAGTCTGTATTTAATTTCTCCTTGAACCCGCAACGCATAAGTCGATCGGATCACGATGGATGTATCTGAGCAATCCTGGACCGTTTGCCGTGTGTCTGATGAAATGGACTGTGGCTCACAAAAACTTTCACCGTCACAAGCGGGTGAGCCCTGAACATGCCACCGGACCCTGGCATGGGGGTACGTGCTGAGAACAGCTGCCAGTGTGGTCAGCTCTCGGGAATCAGATGAGCGTCGGCTGGGAATGCCCCCCCATGCAACATCTGCCAAGCTACCAGGGAGCCCCCTCCCATCAGGCTCCCTGCAGATGCATTGGATGGCCAAGCCCATCAACTCCAGGATGATGGGTGCAGTATTACACTCTAACACGATTGCAAGATACGGCTTTTGTGGGAATCTTCTGTCCATGGATTGGAACCACCTCGCCTGCAATTGATGCAGAAAAAATTGCATAGTTGTCTGGGGAAAAAGATCTCCTGTCTTTTTTTTGGGGGGGGGGAGATCAAACAGAGTGGATTTCTCCCTGTTTTTGGAGAAAGCCCCTTCCCACTTTCTGTACCCCCTTCCATCCCTCCCCCCCCAACCTTCACTTTCTTCACAGTACCTTCTTCTGATTCCTCTTATCCTTTTGCAGCTGGAAAGCAATTCAAAAAACCTTCTCTTCTTCCTTTGCAAGAAAAGGAGCAACTGCTGATTCTCTTTCTCTCTCCGTCCCATTCAACCCCCCCCCCTTCCTGTCTAGGAAACCCAGCTCTATCGGCTTAACCCTTCTCAAATGCAGCAGGCAGAACCTTTTTTTAACTTTGAAAACCATGGTTTCATTTTAAGTCTTCTTAAGTCAGAAGAAAAGAGACTCGGGAGGCCAAAAACCAGGTCTATCTATTTTTAAACATTTTCTTTAAAAATGCTGTATCTTCAACAAAGATCCTCAGAGCTCGGTCCTGACGTTTCAAAGAAACAGAAGAACGTTTTAATTTTTTTTAACTTTGAAAACCATGGTTTCATTTTAAGCCTTCTTAAGTCAGAAGAAAAGAGACTTGGGAGGCCAAAAACCAGGTTGCTCTGTATTTTAAAAGTTTTCTTTAAAAAATACTGCATCTTCAACAAAGACGTTCAGAGCCCAGTCACAAAATACCAAAGAAAGGTAGGTGGAACCCTTATTTCCAATGGGCTGCCCTTCTCTCACTGTGTTTCTTTCTCTTTCTGGATCCACAGATTTGAAAGGAAGAACATTTTAAGATGCTTTTACAATGTTCACAGGTTGTTAGGAGCCCGTTTTTAATTTATTCTCCATCACATAATTTACCATAACTACATTATTATGATCATCATCATCATCTTGACTATGAGACCTAGGAGAGCACACCTGAAAGTGTGTGTATCAAGACGTCAGGGGGTAGATGGTATTATGTATTAACACTAACTCACACGTAATGCTTAGCTCAATGTTTCTCAACCTTGGCAACTTTAAGATGGGTGGACTTCAACTCCCAGAATTCCCCAGCCAGCATGCTGGCTGGGGAGTTCTGGGAATTGAAGTCCACCCATCTTAAAGCTGCCAAGGTTGAGAAACATTGACTTAGCCTTTTCCAGCCAGGTCATCCTTCAGGTGTGTGGACTTCAATACCCAGAATTCTCAACAACAGACTCCCTGGTTGGTGTGATGGATTCTGAAAGGTGAAGTCCACTTTTCTCCCAACTGAAAAGTAACCTTTTACAGCAGTGTTTCTCAACCTTGGCAACTTTACAATCGGTGGACTTCAACTCCCAGAATTCCCCAGCCAGCAACTTTTGGGAGTTGAAGTCCACCGATCTTAAAGTTGCCAAGGTTGAGAAATACTGTTTTACAGAGTAGAAGAAAGTTGACTACCTCCCACCCACCCCTCAACAAAAAAAGGAGAGATGTCTGCTATAGGTTCTGCTGTTGTGGTCAATTTATGCCTGTCTTCTCTTAGGAGCTACGTTTATGCTGCTACTTCTGGAAGGTGATTGTAAGAGTTTTCACACAGTCAGTAAAAATCAAGATCAGAGAAGATCCAGCCAAGGGATAGGTGTAAACAGGCCAGCCTGCCCCAAAGAAAGCGCCAAGCAGTCTGTTATATAGGGCAGGAAGAAGAGATGAAAGAGGATTTGAATAAGGTTTTGATCCAGTACCTAGTTGTTCTTGAAACTCAGCAGTTGCTGACCTTGTTTGGCTTTTTAACCAGCCTCAGTAAAAATAACTTATTGAAAGATTGGGGTGAGCTTGGATAAGAGGCTTCAGTCCTGCTCGTGGAGTGAAACCTCTTGGAGATCACTTGAGCATAAAGATGGGGAAGGTAGGTGGAACCCTTATTCCCGATGGGCTGCCCTTCTCTCACTGTGTTTCTTTCTCTTTTCGGATCCACAGATTTGAAAGGGAGGGATACAACTGGCCCATCAGTGCCACATGTAGCTCTTTTATTTATTAATTAATTTTATAGGCAACTAGTTGTTCCAATAGTCCCCTTAGGAGGGACAGAACTTGTTTGCTCCCACGACAGTTGCCTTGGGCTTGGCCAATTCTCCCTATTCCTCCTTGGCCATTTCTTCCAGGGGCCCTGGGAGGGACGCCCCAAAATCCATGAATAACATGGTGGGGAAAAACTCCCTGCTGCCCCTTGGGACTGGTATAGAGACACTGGGTTCTGGATGGTTATGGCTCAAGTCCCAGTTGAACACCTTAGTTGATTTATCACTGAAAAAAAGATCAGTGATGGATTATCTCCAATGGAGAGATGTGGATGGTACAAAAACTAACTGGGAGACAACCCTTTTCTTGAACGATACCCCGTGAGGAATGAATTTCAGGCACAGCTTGGTTCTCTGAGGTGTCTTCTACATGGCTGAGGTTGTCTGAGGCTGGAGACCTTAAATGTTGTCTCCGTGTTCTTTCAGCTCCTCTTTCTGCCTGCAAAAATGCAACTGATGGGAATGAGTTGGACCTACCAGATGGGCTTCTGGAAGTGGAGGCAGCCTGAGGGTGGCACCTTTTAATAACATTTGTCAGTCTGAAAAGGTGATACCAGACTCCTTCTGATTTTTGGCTACCACAGGCTACCACAGCTTTGCCTACCACGTCCAGGTACCAAGGCAACTCCACTTGCTGGAGTGTGGTGGCCTTCAAAACTTTGTGGGCTTCCTAGAAGGCTCTAACTGGTCCTTGGAAGCAACCCAAAACTCAAGGAAGGACGGCTCTCCTCTCTTCTACCACAGTAATTTTGATTCTCACAACACATTAAGCCAAATCCCAAACTATCTACCGTAGGCTTGAGCACCCTCTGTGCAAAGTCTCTTATTTGAAGTCCTGGAGGAGCCTCTCCTGTCTCTTCTCTCTCCCCAAAACTGAAGCCTGTCGAGTTCAGATCCCCCATAAGGTGCTTGAGAACAACTGTTGGGCATGATAGCCTAATCCAAGTAGTCAGAAAGACCTAGTTTGAGAATGGAAAAGCACCTTCCTGTATTCCATTCATTGGCTTCTTTGGAAATCCTGCTAAATATACACAAAAGAGGCGATATTAATACACATCAATGTTATTTTGCCCATGGCACTTATCGGAGAACTGCTCAGTTTCCATTCAAAAAGAAACTTTTTAAAGCTATCTCTATGTTCCATTGAAAATGTTCTTGAAATAAGAACTTGGTTCACATTCTGCTAGGCTATGTTCAGTCTACCCACGTTGTATAATCCACAAATGGCACCTCATTGAGTCATCAACCTTGTTTTACCCACCACCACTGCTAAATTAACGCATCAGATGAAAGCTGAATTGTAGAAATCATTATGGCTTAGTGCAAGGCATGAGATTGGTTAATGGTGGTCATTCGCACGGTATAACATATCAGCAGATCAACCTTATTGCTCTTCCAAATGTTTGGACTTTAGCCCCAGCCTGCAAGCCACTGCAAAGGTTCTTGTTCAAAGTATTGCAAGAGGTGGAGGAACATTATGACCTGGGGCTCATAAAAGCATGAAATTAGCCCACAGTATTATTACTTTTTTTCATACCCTGCTTTTCTCACCAATAACCCGTCACCATCCAACGAGTCTTTTCAGACCTTGCTTATTTTGTAAACTGATTAGTCGCTCTGCAGCAAACATGACCAAGAGTCCTGGGACATCCTAAACATGGTTTCTTTTATTGCACTTTACATTCTCATGGACTTCCCCAGCAAGATCAAACAAGGATGGACAATGTGATCTATAATCACATAAAATCCAGACAGCCGCCCTTTTAAGACGACTGAGCAAAAAATGACATCAAACAGATCTCAAAAGATCAAAGCCCACTTTAAAATCGACCACAAGGGCAAAGCACGGGAAACGCTTTCGGAAATAAATTGGTCTTTTTCTAGAGCCCAGCGGAGCTCTCTAGACTTGGTCAAGAAAAGCCCTGCCGTATTTCAAGAGGGGACGGTCCCCAGAACCGGGGCCCTGGGGGTGAGGAATATGTGGGAATAGGCCATCTCTGCCTGATATCTGATGGAAGACAGTCACCAGCAGGGTCTAGCAGAGGATGATGGACTCATGGATATATTCTCAATCTTCATGCATTCCCCAGTTCGGTTTCCTCTGCAAGGGAAGAAAGCAACGTTTTAATCTGAGCGTTCTGCCACAGATGCTTTCAGACAGCCTTTTTCCTCCAGAGGTGATAGATTTCCTCCCAGAAGTGTTGCGTTACAACTCCTCCGGCAGCCTGGGTCGTTGCCTCAAACTGCCAGCAATTCTTTTCCAAGCCAGATTAGCTGCCCAACTCCAGAGTTCCTCTGATTGCAGTGGGATAGAAAGATTATCGATAAAAAATGGTATTGAAAGGTAGCAGTAAGGTTTCATATTTTAAATTGAATATCAGGGTAGAACCCAAGGTGCTGTAACTACACACTGTGCTCTGAGGCTGTAGTAGTTACAGAATTCTCTAACTGGAACTTTCCAGCTTTTTGCTGGGAAGGATGAAGGGATTAAGGCAGTGTTGTCCAAACTTGGCCACTTTAAGATGAGTGGACTTCAACTCCCAGAATTCCCCAGCCAGCATGGCT